ACTTGGAACACAACATTCAGAAGCATCTGCGCTATTCCCAGAAGTTCCCCTTCTCCCACTGGTGTTTGTGTTTGAGCTTTCCCCGTTTGGTCCTGTACTTACTGGAGCAGTGCAGTTTGACCGGCGGAAGGCAGAGCTCTTTAGCGATATCCGTGTTCTTGATTTTCAACGCTTCGTCAACCTGAAACACAGTTAGTGGGGTCACTGCTCACAGAATCGTACCATTGTCAAGGTTGGAAGGGGCCTTTAAGATCACTGAGCCCCACCATCAACCTAACTTGGATAAAAACCATCACTAAACCATGTCACTAAGCACTACATCAACCTGTCTTAAACCCCTCCAGGGATGGTGCCTCCACCTCTTCCCTGGGAAGCCCATTCCAAGGTTTAAGAACCCTTTCAGTGTGAACATTTTTCTTAATGTCCACATGAGGTACAACACGGGCTATGAAGGCATTTGCTCTGAGAGTGCTTCAGTGCTGCAGAGCCACCAGTATCCACGCGGAAGAACATCTCAGCTTCCAGGGGTAGCGAAGGATTTTGGAATTAAGGATTGTCTCAGAGTGAGCAGTGACAGGAATGAATCAGTGTCACAGACCAAGCGCTGCTTTGGGGACTGTTTCTATGCTTAACTTTATCATAACATAGAAATGTGTTTCCTGTGTGGCAGAAAAAGTATAAATAATCTAAAGACTGTCCAAAACTAAGCTTTCCTTCACAACCCATGATCGGTGTGTTTTTGTTTTCTGCGCAAAGCACTCCCCTGCAGATTAATGGAGGTTCTTAAGAAAGGCAATTATCACTCGAGAAATCAGGCCCCTAACAAGGGTGACAGTTGCTGTTTTCTAATTTTTTATGGAGGGAAATTGGAGAGGAGAGCCCTTTCTTATTAAAAAAACTAAAACATATTTGGCTCTGAAGAAGGATTTCTTCGTTTTGCACTTCTGGGTCTGTTTCCACAGCTGGTAGTTGCTGTATTCCTGGTGCTGGTGTTTGTGCTGCTGAGCAGTAACCTTTAGAGCTTAGAGCTGTAGGCTAAGCTCAGAGCTTAACTTTAAAGCTTTGTTAAATTTGGAAGTCTTTTTTATAAATGTCTGCTTGTGATGTGAAAAAGCATCTTGCAAACAATATTGAAGTTTGGTGCAACTCTGTGCGGGAAGGGAAGTGTTGTCTTGGCTGTGTGGCACGTGAGGAGACTTGTGTGCCCCAAAAGATAGTGTGATACTCTGTTCTACTAAACGTTCTCAGGTTTTTTCATGTCTGCCACTCAACAGTGCTTTTAAAAAAAAATTACTTTTTTTTTTTTTAAAGCTTTCCATCAACGCTTTTGACTATAACTGTCACTTGGATCTGATAAAGCTGCTGCGCCAGGAGGGAGAGTTGATAAAGCTCAGAAGAGCTCGTCAGAAGATGAGTGAACTCTTTCCACTTACTGAAGGTACGAAGCATCTTCTGCATCATTCATGTAAAACACTGTTGTTTCAGTAGTGAAACCGTGTGTTTGTGCCAGGCTTCAACAACGTTGTTACTGTCCAGAGAAACCTAAAAGGACAGATTTGGGACTTCTAAACTGTGAACACTGCAGGTGTTAACGGCCAGCATTGAGCTTGACCTCTGGCAGATATGGAGTAATGAGCCTGGTGCAGGAATTTAAGTTCTTGCCCCTTGCAACTGTACTGTCCTGCCCTGTTTTTTGCCAGAGGCTGCCACTGCCGGAATGCAACCTGCTGTAGGAGGACAGATGTGTATTTGCTTGTGCTGCCTTTGTTTTAGGGCTGGTGACATATATAGCTGAGGGATGGCAGCACTGAAACTGCTCCGGTCACTGTGTCAGGGAATGTGACTCAGAACACAGGCAGACTCCTATCAAAAGTTAAATTTTGCAGGCAAGCAGCAAAAAATATGATGTTGGTGGAAGTTGCAAGTAGCCCTTGAAGTGGGTGTTTCTTTTCTATTCATAAAACAGAGGTGATGTAAATATTTGAGAGGCTGTTCTGCCAGTGTGCTTTTAGTCTGGGCAAGGGAAGGTTTCCTTCTGTGCATGCAGAAACTTGCAGCCTCTAAAGCTATTTACTGTTTCTTGTAAAACAGTGAGGAGAGGTGTCCCTCTAGATGCCTCTTTGGATACTGCTGCATACTGGTCCTCTGCCCACAGTACTGATAAATTGCTGCTTGTAACATCTGCTCTCTTTAAATAGAAGTGTTGGTACTAATTTGATACAATCTCTACCAAACTTTTCTCTTAAATTAGTTGTGAGTAGTTGTGGAGGGTAAAATTGCTTCATTCTCCCTGTTTTAAGTCTGTTACTAAAAACTCTCATAAAAAAATTCAACAAGTGGATTTAACTTTTTTTTTTTTTCCTGGACATTGATGATGTATTTTAAACTTCTTCCTTCCAGAAATTTGGCTGGACTGGTTGAAGGATGAGATAAAAATGGCTTCTGAAAGCTCTGAGCGAGAGAAAGTTTACGAGCTGTTTGAGAGAGCTGTGAAAGACTACATCTGTAAGTTGTTAATACATGCTATAAAATGTATTGTGTTGCATTCAGATTATGGCTTTTTTCTAGGAAAAATTCTTCTCTTATAATGCAAATCGGATCAAAAATATTGCTGTGAGGCAATCCTTTGTGTTTCTGAA